AAGACACACAAGCTGAAACGCCAAGACTGGGCCAAGAAATATCTCAAGACTGATTTTTCTAAGGTTTTATGGACTGATGAAATGAGAGTGAGTCTTGATGGGCCAGATGGATGGGCCCGTGGCTGGATTGGTAAAGGGCAGAGAGCTCCAGTCCCACTCAGACGCCAGCAAGGTGGAGGTGGAGTACTGGTTTGGGCTGGTATCATCAAAGATGAGCTTGTGGGGCCTTTTCGGGTAGAGGATGGAGTCAAGCTCAACTCCCAGTCCTACTGCCAGTTCCTGGAAGACACCTTCTTCAAGCAGTGGTACAGGAAGAAGTCTGCATCCTTCAAGAAAAACATGATTTTCATGTAGGACAATGCTCCATCACACGCGTCCAAGTACTCCACAGCGTGGCTGGCAAGAAAGGGTATAAAAGAAGGAAATCTAATGACATGGCCTCCTTGTTCACCTGATCTGAACCCCATTGAGAACCTGTGGTCCATCATCAAATGTGAGATTTTACAAGGAGGGAAAACAGTACACCTCTCTGAACAGTGTCTGGGAGGCTGTGGTTGCTGCTGCACGCAATGTTGATGGTGAACAGATCAAAACACTGACAGAATCCATGGATGGCAGGCTTTTGAGTGTCCTTGCAAAGAAAGGTGGCTATATTGGTCACCGATTTGTTTTTGTTTTGTTTTTGAATGTCAGAAATGTATATTTGTGAATGTTGAGATGTTATATTGGTTTCACTGGTAATAATAAATAATTGAAATGGTATATATTTGTTTTTTGTTAAGTTGCCTAATAATTATGCACAGTAATAGTCACCTGCACACACAGATATCCCCCTAACATAGCTATAACTAAAAACAAACTAAAAACTACTTCCAAAAATATTCAGCTTGATATTAATGAGTTTTTTGGGTTCATTGAGAACATGGTTGTTGTTCAATAATAAAATTAATCCTCAAAAATACAACTTGCCTAATAATTCTGCACTCCCTGTAGAGTGGTTCACCGATGTGATTAAACACATATATTAATCAGATGTGTAATTCATTGAAATGCCATTCTCTGCCGGAAACCAGAAATTATTTTCAGTTGTATCACGCAGTGTAAACGGGAAATTTACAGATGGTAGAAAAATGCTAATGAGATTACAGATTACACTGGGAGACAGGTATAGATGTGTTGCCCAGACATGCATAGCATGAATCTCTGGCTCTATATATAAAATTCATTTTTTAGATCTGGCACATGTATTCTCGGATGGCAGTGGGCCAAACTAAAATATCTTTTAAATAATGAAGCCATTGTGATTTTATTTTTCAGAAGATGATCTACAAAGTTCCCAAAAAAAGGAAACATGTTTCTAAATGAATGGACAATAGTTTACTCAAACAATTCAGTGACTTGTCTTCTTGTTTATCACAGAGGATATGTTTGGAGTGATTCATCTCTCTGACATTTGTACAACAAGATCACTTTCTTGTAGCAGTCAGTTTAACTTGGTCATGATATAAAAGATAATGATCATAAAGTATCTATCACCCCCGGGGCAAGTTCAAATAAAATGTTTCAAACAATTTGCGATTTGTCTGAATTTAAGGCGATCAGCTTTTCGGCCGAAATCCTGAACTTTGAAATGCTATATGGGCAAATCATGAAACAAACGAAATGGACAAATTATGTCAGAATTCGGTGTTCCACCACCTGAGGCGCATACTCACCTCCCACGACCACCCACAAAAAGATGATTTAAGGTTAGAGGACAGCCACTAAATGCTGATCTTATTCACAGAACAAGTGAGAGGTAAAGGGAAAAAGAAGGTACAGTAAAAATAAATTTTATATTTAATAAATATATACATAATATGTATATATATATATATATACACACACACACACACACACACACCTTTTTCCTGCCTTATTGATTATGTTTTCTCACTGTGTGTTCCAATTGGCAGGAAAATGTGCCTATCAGTGTACTGCAAAATATACACCTAAAATAGCTACATTTTGTATAGATTTTGCACTACACTGATTGGCCGATTTTCACTCCATTTTGGTTTGTCTGAATTGTTTTTCCTGAAACAAGCACATGGATGAAACCTGAATTGCCTAAAACTATTTTTTTTTTTTTTTTTAGAATGAATTAATTCAGAGGAACCACATTTTTTTTTGCTGTGCATGAGTCTACTTTTCATTCCCCCTCTTGATAGAACCCGAATCCTTGTACAACGTTAGTGAATGCACAACCCTTACCAAAGTCCTGTGCATTACCCAAATCAGCTTTAGCAGGACTCAAGCTGAGCCAGTTCTAGTGATGTATATAGTTTTAAAGTAAGTCAACCTATTTAATCAATAACCTTCTCAGGATAGGCAAGATCAACTAATTCTCACCAAATTAAAGTGAGAGTAAATGAACAGAGAACTAAAAATGTAAAGTAGTTGTTAGAGAACCAAATAGAGCAACCAGGTACACAACCGATCGTTTCAGGGACTCTTCAATTTGATCGTGAAAAGGACAATGTTTTGGCTTTGCAATGAAGTCTGTCTCAGATCAATCACACCATATTTCATAATTCTTTGCTATCTATTAATATTGTTATGTAGTATTGTGTGATTGACTTGAGAAAAGCTTCACTACATAGAACTGGCTCAGTGTTTCAATGCAATCTAAAGGGGTCCTAAATAGTTACATAAACACTATAGTGTTAGGAATACATATTTTTATTCCTGACACTATAGTGTTCCTCTAATCTACTATTCAACGTTTGTTAAAGGAAGAGTTATTTCTGGTCATAAAAAAAAAAAAAAAAAAAAAGATTGCCTGTACTATAACCTCTGTGTCTTATTTTTAATGCATACATATAATGTAATGCCACTTCTCAGTACATCTCCTAATTTAGCTTTGCTCCATAATGGTGCCCATCTTGAAGTCATCTTTGGTCAAAAGCACAAACCCTTCTCCAAGATTAAACAGCAGAGAAGACACAGAGTGCATTTATGGGTCTTGTTTAATTTGCCTGGGTCGGAAAAGTTGACTCCCAAGTCTTCTGACCAAAATGTACTTAAAAATAGCCACCCCGGTGGAGCAACAGTAGGTCAACATAAGCACACACACACACAAAAAAAAAAAAAAAAAAAAAAGAGGTATTTATAAATATGTATGCACTACAAATTAATTTACACAGAGCCTATAATATATGCTATTTCTATTTGGAATAATCATGAAAAATTATAGATTCCTGGAATTTAATGAATAGCAGATTAAAATGAAGAAATAAATATAGAAAATAAATAAATATAAACATCACAAAGTAAAGAAATAAATTAAGAATGGGAAAAAAATTACTTACAATAGTTAACATAAATATATACTAATGAGTTCTAAACATGCATTCATGTGTTGCCAAGCCACTGAGCATTCACTTAAATCTTTAAACCAATGCAGTTTACATTTTTATTCCCCCCCCCCCCACTTATGCCAGGAAAAAAATGATATTATTTGCATGGCTCTCTACCAAGTAAACTGCATTAAAAAAAAATAATAATGAAAAAAAAAAAAATATATATATAAATATATATATATATATATATATATATATATATATTATTTTTTTGCAGTTTACTTGGTAGAGAGCCATGATAAACTACATTGGATTAAATATTATATTAGCATTGGACAGCATTGGTTTAAAGATATATATGTAAACGAGATTACACAGCAAATTGTTTCTGTGTCAATGTATGAAATAACTACATTTAGAACAAACTCCGTCTGGTGGCATGCCAAAACAAATTTTAAAAAAATTTTGATAAAAATGAGTTCGTGCAAACTAGTAGATATGTGAAAAATTGTTTTAAAGCATTCCGAAGGGCCATTTATCTGTTCACATTTTGAACAAAATATTTGGGGGTACACAGACCACAGGACAAGCTTAAAATTAGGCACCTGTCCCCCAGATGATCAATTCTATATTACCCCAGATGGTAGAAGCGAAATCCTTGTGGAATATATACAAAATATTGGGGTACTCACCAACTGCATGTATATTTCCCTCATCAGTTGTTGTACCGAATCAAAAGTTAGGTCCATTACAAGAATACTAATTGGACTTTCATTCATGAATACAAAAAAAAAAAAAAAAAAATCTTATTCAATATCTCTCTGAAACTGTCTACTATGTCATTAATGGGATACTATAGTGTTATGAATACAAAATTGTATTCCTAACACTATAGCTAACTCTGCCTCACCCCTCCCCCCAGCTAATAAAGGGCCCCGTAGGTGCTGGGAGTTTCCCTAAAACTGCAATGTTTTACATTGCAGGACTAAGGGCACTAGGGACACTGCACCCAGGCCACAGCTAAAGTTGTCTGGGTGCTTGTAGTGTCCCTTTAATGCTTTATACCTTTTAAAAGGAAAACACTGACTTTTTACACTATCAAATAAAAAATATATATATATATTATTAAAAATCACATGTAATTGATGTTAACCTTTTCATGTGATGCTCGGTTTTCTTTTCAAATGTATATTAAAGGAAATTGCATCACTATTCAGTGCAGTGCCGGCACAGCCAAGGCACACAAGGCACTGGGAGAGAAACTGTTTCTATTTCATCTTTAACCCCTTAAGGACCAAACTTCTGGAATAAAAGGGAATCATGTCACACATGTCATGTGTCCTTAAGGGGTTAAAGGGAGCCAATATGGAGTCTCCCAAATTCAGAATGGAGGTGTGTATTTCTACATTTCACTTTCAATTTTTTCAGACCTCAAACATATTTGTTAAATACAGAAGATAAATAAACTCAATATTAAACACAATGTGAACTGATGTTCCCTTTTAACAGTATGGTATTTCAGGCATTTTTTCTTTCTTATAACTCCCTACATAGCACTAAAATTATACATCATTATGATACATTATATGTGCATTGTACAAGTAGAAAAATGCTGTGATACAGCTTCTGGCTCAAGGATCCCTGTGCATACGAATGCCAAGAGCCTTGAATAAAGAGAGGTGCTCATGTTTAGTATATCAATTAGATTCTTTATAGGTCTTTGTCAGTGTGCTCAAATGATAAAAGAAACACTATGCTCATTTGACAAAAGGAAGTTCAGTCAGCAATAACATATTAAATAAAGTAACTGTCCTCGAACGTTCTGCAGCAATGTAAAAACATTTTGTTTTAACATCAGATGTCTCAGATCGCCATTTTATTTCGCTATACTCTTTCAATTCTGCTGTTAAGACTCTTATAACAGGATGTACAATGGTATTAAATGAGAAGTCTAATAGGTGGTAAGAGCGTGTTGATCCAAGGAGGTAGAATGCCGAAGGTTCTTTTTTCCGGTTTGTGGCACAATTTGAAATTGCTTGAAATATATATTTTTTATACCTTCTTTTTTCACTTAACTGCAGAAACAGATATGTTGAAGTTTAAACTCAAGTCTTTTTTCAATTTTGATTACATTACGAAGTAAGACTACTTAAAGGACCACTATAGTGCCCGGAAAACATACTCGTTTTCCTGGAACTATAGTGCCCTGAGGGTGCCCCCACCCTCAGGGACCCCCTCCCGCCGGGTTTTGGAAGGGGGAAAGGGGTTAAAACGTACCTTTTTCCAGCACTGGGTGTGGAGCTCTCCTCCTCCGATCCTCCTCCGTTCCTCCCCGTCGGCTGAATGCGCACGCGCGGCAAGAGCTGCACGCGCATTCAGCCGGTCGCATAGGAAAGCATTATCAATGCTTTCCTATGGACGCTGGCGTGCTCTCACTGTGAAAATCACAGTGAGAAGCACGCAAGCGCCTCTAGTGGCTGTCAATGAGACAGCCACTAGAGGGAATGGTGGAAGGCTTAACCCATTCATAAACATAGCAGTTTCTTTGAAACTGCTATGTTTATAAAAAATTGGGTTAACCCTAGCTGGACCTGGCACCCAGACCACTTCATTAAGCTGAAGTGGTCTGGGTGCCTCGAGTGGTCCTTTAAAGGAGCACACTGGGCACCACACTATAGTTCTTCTAAACAGCTTTCATAAGTAGAAAGTCGACCTACAAGTCCCTGAAATTTAAATCTAAAAAGAACGGAGGCTGTGCACCGAGTACTATGAATTCTACCAATCAGCTCCTCTCCCTTATACTTTAAACCATGTAGTGCATGGGAAACATTTATAACAATTTAGAACTCCACTGACCAGATTGAGAACATCCTGATTGGCCAAGCTACTTCAAGCCTGATGATGTAATGTGTGGCCATGTTACTTTTTCTAAAACATTATCTAAGGGGTGTGTAAAATGTGACTCCCCGGCTGTACTGCAAAAGCATTTCTGAAAGGGCAATATGAAAGCGATTACATATAAATGAACATACACAGTGTAAGTGAATGGGTCACAATACTATACAATACAAAAAAATGATATACATTTATATAAAAATATAGAATACTTTTCTGCAGCTGTCCAACAAAATCTAAAAGCTTTATCAAAACCATTTGATTTCAAAAGTTACATTGAAAACATTGTTTAAAGATTAAAATGACTGACTTTTTAATAAGAGAGTTCTCCAATTAAGCAAACTTCCTTATTAGAAGACGGTTATTTGCAGAATATGTAATATGCTTGTTTAGGTTATGTTTTTGAGGATTACCAGTAAATGAATCCGATATGAATAAAAAGACGTTATGAATATGTTTCTGTCGATACATTTTGAAATGTAAAAAGACAAAGCAAACAAGATTTCAATTCAGACACTTGTCTTCTTGTTTATCACCACAACATTCCGTGTCTTTGTTTTTCGCTTTGGCCTTTGCACAACAGAGGACTCTCTTGTAGCCGTCGTTGAAGCTTTGTGATATCAATCCATACAGGAAGGGGTAAATGCAGCATTTTAGGTAAGGTACGATGGAGAGAAGGTAATAGACTGTCTCCGAAAGTTCCGTAAAGACTCCAACTGCAGACATTATTTCAAGAACATGCATTGGAAGCCAAATGACCAGATAGACAATAGAAAGAGCAAAAACCAATATCATATCCTCTCTTACATTAGTATAAGAGGGATCTGCATGTTTTTTGTGAGACTTTAACCAATTTGCAGTGAGAATTAGACTGACACAAACTAATGCCAGTGGCACAAAAAAGGCCAAAACAAGCTGATAGGTGGTAATTGTAATAGAGTAAAGGGAGGTGGCTTCAGACCAAACTTTGCAAGACTTTCCAGAATCTAGGGATGCATACCTAAATATGGGAATACCCAGCAAAAGGCAGATAACCCAAGTACAGCCACTGATAACCAAGGCTGCTTTTGGCCCAAGTCTATTCCTCGAGAAGACAGGGAAGTAGACGTGCAAACAGTCATTGATGGACATAATTGTCAGAAAAAATGAACTGGAGAAGGCAACTGCGGTCGTTAGAGCCCAGAAAACTTTACACAAGACCATACCCATGGACCAGTATGAATAAGCAGTCTCAACGGCAAACCACAGCAAACACATCATATACAACAGGTCCCCCAAAACAAGACTGGAGATGTAGATGTTGGTGGTTGTCCACATGTATCTGTACCTAAGTACCACGTAGATGGCCAGGGCATTAGAAACAAAGCCAATAACACAGACCAACACGTAAATCACACAAAACAAGGTATTTTGTTTTGAATCACGGAAATCATCTTCTAAAGTAAAGTTGTAATCCAGGAAGTCAGTGTAGTTATAATCCAAAGAATAGTCCAATATCTGAGAATCATTCATTCTGGCTTCTGGTTTGCTGCTGATCTACAAAAGAATAAAATGTGTGATTATGGTTAATGTATTTAATAGCATTGAAATGGATACAAACTGCACTACAAATCACGTACTGTATTTAAAAAAAAAAAAAAGAAAAAAAAGGCAAGGAACTAAAATGGACAGGAAGTACACCACGTTAGAACATATGTAATCTATAAATGTTAAATTGCCAAAACATTTCTAAGAAAAAAACGCTACATATGCTCACTGTGATTAAATTCAGCTGGAAAAAAAAAAAAGTACAAAAAACAAAAACAAGCCTACGATTGACATACACGCACATTACTGTAGCTATTTCACAATATAAAATGGACCTGTACTTTGCGCAACAGTTTCAGTAGTGTCTTTACATAACTGATATTGCTGCAGTTCACCAAACAAATTCCCTTAAAGGGATTTACAAATTATCTGATGTGGCTTAAATCTTGCTACTGGGATTTTAATCCACAAACCTTTACCTTGCATTTATTTGAACCATATTATTGAGACACATGGCCTGTATTGCTGGAGAGGCTTATTCATTATAATTTAGCAGTGGTGAGAATGCAACAATTGTGCAAGAGATAGAAAAAAATAACAAGGATAGAAAAAAAACAAACAAACAAAAAAAAAAAAACCTCCCAAACATATGTTTCAGTAAAGAAACCCTTTAAAGTGGTACTCCAACCACAGTGACCACTTCTGCTTTCTGTGCTTGAGCTGGTTAAATAGTTAGATCAAAAACGTCTCAGATAGAGCCATGCTGAGCAACACCAGGATTGTCACCCAATGCTGGACAAAGGTCACTAAAGTGTTAAAGGAACACTATAGTCACCTAAATTACTTTAGCTAAATAAAGCAGTTTTAGTGTATAGATCATTCCCCTGCAATTTCACTGCTCAATTCACTGTCATTTAGGAGTTAAATCACTTTGTTTCTGTTTATGCAGCCCTAGCCACACCTCCCCTGGCTATGATTGACAGAGCCTGCATGAAAAAAAAACTGGTTTCACTTTCAAACAGATGTAATTTACCTTAAATAATTGTATCTCAATCTCTAAATTGAACTTTAATCACATACAGGAGGCTCTTGCAGGGTCTAGCAAGCTATTAACATAGCAGGGGATAAGAAAATCTTAATTAAACAGAACTTGCAATAAAGAAAGCCTAAATAGGGCTCTCTTTACAGGAAGTGTTTATGGAAGGCTGTGCAAGTCACATGCAGGGAGGTGTGACTAGGGTTCATAAACAAAGGGATTTAACTCCTAAATGGCAGAGGATTGAGCAGTGAGACTGCAGGGGCATGTTCTATACACCAAAACTGCTTCATTAAGCTAAAGTTGTTCAGGTGACTATAGTGTCCCTTTAATTTAAAAAATATTCTACAGGGTTTATGGGGGTGACTAAGTAATAAAACGCGTTGAAAAAAAACTTTTAATTTAGATGCTTGCAATTATAATTTTAAATATAGGTTCGCAGAGCATAAAGGGAAAAAGAATTCATAAAAAAATGCAGGTTACAATACATTAGTGTTGTACCCACTCACCCATTTTAAAATTAAAAGTCACATTTAAAAATCTAAGTCAAATCTTACAAAAATAGAGATTTTTGTATTTCCTGTACAAACTCCAGCAGGATTTGCAATGGGCTCTCACAAAACCAGGAAGTGATTGATGCTAATACAATACATCCTATAGCAGTGTAGACCTCTTCCTAAAAGCAGTAGTTTATGGGCACAAGCAAGGGTTTCTGGGAGTTGTAGTTCAATTGTAAACCTCCTGCTGTAGAAACTCAAAATTTGTACTAAAGCTCTTGGTAGGTGTGACATTATGTATAGTGGTACCTTTAGTGCAAAAAAAAAAAAAATTAGACACTACAGGAAGCTGGGACGGGGATTTCAATTTGTATGAAAAAAAAAATACTAATAAGCACTAATTAGCATTTATATAACAAAAATAAAACAAATAAAATCTCCCGTTATAACTAATTGGATCCTTTAAAACACGTTGCCCCTTTGGAGTAGTGGCACATGGAGTGTCCCTCTAATTTTAAAATGTATATGGAGATTTTCCATATTTACTCGCTGCCTTACCTAAAAGCAATAACTCAATACAAGTGAATGGCATCATTAAAAAATTAGTATATACTTCTGTAGCAGCCATTATCTCTACAATCAGCAGAATGTGTGAAGAGGACTTATCTCAAGCACATCATTAGCTCTGGGGTGGTGGGTGATCTGGATTTCAGTCAGTTTTCCTGCTATGTACAATTAACTTATCAAATGGGTATTTTAAAAAGACTTAATTTTTTCCATTCAGTCACAGTCAAATCACTTTTCTTCATCAAGCACAATCATTAAGATGGGTATCAGCTTCTTTTTTTGCTATCTGATTGTACTCCGTCTCCTCCTCTCCCCTTTAACAAACACATTCGTGACCGAATCCTTCAAGTTGTGCATTTCAACGATTCACATCAAGTGACATCTATGGAGTTGGTACCTTTTTTTTTTTTTTTTTTTTTAAAAAATGTTTTACTGTTAAAGAGTAATGTCTGTTATTTTATAAACCACTTCAAAACAGAACAAACACTTCAGAGAACAGACTAGAATAGACAGTGTCACGTTACAAGAGGAGAAATAAAAGATCTGAGAAATACTAACAACATTTACTCACTCAAAAGGAAATAGTGGGGAACTGACAAGGGAATGACACATTTTGTCCAAAATAGCCAAATGAAAAAATGTGGAATTTTATTTTCTCCATTTTTGTAAGGTAAATGTTGTAGTTAAGCCTATAAACCCCCTAATGAATCAGGTCTGTGTTTTCCTCTGTGAATGATTTTTTAATTTTTTTATAGAACACACTAAACGCTAATGTAGTAGTTTAATGAGAAATTATGCAGCAGGTGAAGTAGTGTTTAGGGACAACATGCCAGTGATGTCACCTGCCTCACTGTTGACATCATAAACCTCAACTCAACATGAAATGACATTCTGGAGGCAACCTGGAGGCTCATGCTGAGAGCGCTCTGGAGAGAATAAAACCTTGCATGGTGAGATAGCTGTCCAAATTTTGGACTGTCTGGACATATTTAATACTGTTGGTAGCTGTGACAGTGTGAATATTAAAGGGACACTATACTCACCCAGACCACTTCAGCTCAATGAAGTGGTCTGGGTGCCAGGTCCCTCGGGTTTTAACCCTACAGATGCAAACATAGCAGTTTCAGAGAAACTGCTATGTTTACATTTGGGGTTAAGCCAGCCTCTAGTGGCTGTCTTCCGGACAGCAACTAGAGACGCATCTGCGACGCTGGGGGCATATTATGCCTCCATCGCACAGAGCGTCCATAGGAAAGCATTGAGAATGCATTCGCATTCGGCTTCGCTGACGTCAGCAGGGGGAGCTGACGTTGGCAGGGAGGAGTGGTCACCAGCACCGAGGGAGCCCGGCTCTGGAATAAGGTAAGCTGCTGAAGGGGTTTTAACCCCTTCAGCACCACGGGAGGGGGACCCTGAGCGTGGGGTCACCCTCAGGGCACTATAGTGTCAGGAAAACCGCTTTGTTTTCCTGACACTATAGTGATCCTTTAAATATAATTTTTATAAAGCACTAAAATTCTGTAGCACACCAACTCAATCTTAATTTCCCCCCACATCATTTCCTGTCTCTCTGAGATCACATATGGAATTTTCTCAGATTTTCTGCAAATAAATCCAAGCCGGAACAAACATTTCTTCTTCTTCCCTACTCTACTTCCAGTATTTAACATCTCAACATCCACTATTGACTTCCACCCACTAAAAAACATCTCCTCGCTCATTGTTTGCAACCTAGGCCTTCTCTTTGACTTATCACTACTTTTTGACATATATTTATCTGTCCTCTGACATTCATCTCTACAATACCTGGACAATCTATTGGTTTCTAACCTACTTTACAACATAATTTATCCATTCCTCATCTTCACTAGCCTTGAGTGCTGCAACTTCCTCCTGGTCGATCTTCACGTAATGTCATCATTCAATATGTGGCTGCATGTATCTTCCACAAACATACCCCATTCTGCTTATACCATGCCACTTCTTCAAAACCTCCATTGGTTTCCAATTAGACAGTACTTTTGTTTCCCAAGTGCTCCTACTTGATTCTATGCAATTTCACTCTTAGCCTTCACTACAATAAATTGGCTGCTTCTCTTTTTTTTTTTTCAAAACATCTGAAGAAAGTGCTCTTTATGAAAGCTTTCCCTTACACTTTGTTTATTTTATCCTTTATATATAGTGCCCTTAGAGGGTTTTTACAAATTATGCAAAAATATAAATGGGTTTATAGAGAGAAGGATACACTATATAACTAGACTCACACTGATACAGATGTGTCACGCAAGAGAGTTTCAGAGCTTAAAAACTAGAGGAATAATTTATACTGAAACAATGGGTTGCAGGGAGAAAATGCAATTGGTAAAATAAGATTAATGTATGCATAACTGAAAATGTTTGTATACAGCAAGCTAAAAAACAGAACAAAAAACAAAACATGTACACAGGAAATCAAGTAGAAAATAGAAAACAAGCAATTTTTGAAGGGGCACTTTAGGCACCAAAAAATGTCAGCTTAATGAATCAGTTTTGGTGTATTTATCATGCCTCTGCAGTCTCAATGCTCAATTATCTGCCATTTAGGAGTTAAATCACTTTTATGCAGCCCTAATTACGCCTCCCTACATGTGACTTGCACATCCTTCCTAAAGACTTCCTGCAAACTGAGATCTAATGTTTACACTTCCTTTATTGCACATTCGGTTTAATTTAGAATTTCTTATCTCCTGCTCTGTTATTAGCCTTCTAGAGCCTACAGGTGCATCCTGTGTGTAATCAAAGTTCAATGTGCAGAGTAGGGTATAAACATTTGTGAAGCAGTTTAACATCTGATTGAAAATGAAACATTTTTTTACTATGCAGGCTGTATGAGTCACAGTCAATGGAGGTGTGGCTAGGGCTGCAATAAAGGAAATAAAAGTGATCTAATTCTTAAGTGGAAGATAACTGAGCAGAAAAACTGCAAGGGCATGATCTAAACACCCAGACCTCTGAATTAAGGTAAAGTTGTTTTGATCCCTAGTGTCCCTTTAATTCTGAACAAAAAGTTTGAGGATGTCCTTTAAGTAATCTGCGAGTATAAACCAAACAAGAATGGGTGTGGTGAGGGGAAGAGAATGCAGGGAAGAAAAAAAAAGGGTACAAAGTGTGTAGTCCGCATATCTAGATGGGTCATTTGATAATTTTAAGCAATTTCTTTAGTGTAGGGATAATTGATTAAGAACGCTTTGACAACTTACCTGGAGTCTGCAATAATGCTAGTAACCTCTTCTACTGCCGGAAGCTTCCTACATCAAGTCAAGCCCAGAGATGCAGGTTTTTTTTTTTTTAAGTTTTCAAAAATGTTATCTTAAAAAGAACAGTTTTCTTCATAGCAAATTCTGCCACTTTTCACAAAATTTCCATTTTAGTAAACCACCAAATTTAGAAAAAAAAGAAATGGAAAAATTGATAAATCTGATGATAAATCTGAATGGCAAATGTTCAAAAGTGACAGTTAGGGCACCAAAAAAAATCAAAAAAAAAAAAATCAGATGAACAAAGCTGCCAGATTTAATAAATTGCTCCAATATTTGCCAAAAATATAGACATAACAGTGCTGGCATGGCGTCTATTTCTACTCCTTATTTGCATTGCGTGCCCTGACTCTGCCAGGACTGTGATGTCAATTGCTAAATATTTAATTTAAAAACAACACAGTAACTTAAAAAAATAAAAAGTTAACACAAGTTATAGGTGATTTTCAATGTTTTATTCAATGGTGTTATAGCGGTCAAAATAGTGTAATAAATGATGGCTATATCACTGCCAATCAATATAAAACTCTCTAGATAATAGTGTTCTGTACAAATAATTAGATCAATATCTACAAAATTTTGGAGGTATTCAGCTTTAGTAAGAATGTTTACTTAGTACAACTATTCTGCCATGATATAAAAATCAGGATGTAGGGGGTAGAGAAATGAGGGTAGAAAACACACACACACACACACACACACACACACACACACACACACTTTGTCTGATGGTAAATAAGGCATCTGGGGGCTTCCTTTAAAACGTGATCTGTTGACTTAAATAATGTCAAATGAGCATGATGGCAGCCGTGATAACAATAGGGGATTCACCAGTGAAAAAAAAAAAAAGCAAAACAAAGAAAGGGGGAAGGTATGTAGGGAAGAACAACAATAATGAGAGGTAATGATAGAATGTTTTACAGTAATGCAAAAAAATATTCCACAAGTATTATATTCACCATATATTCCTAAAGTGAAGAGCACTCACGTGAACAGTGTTTACACAAAAATAAAGTCAAGGCATCTTATTGCTGACACACAAAGACTAAATAAATACAAAACACACAAGATACAGACTTAAATGGAAAATAAACTTCAAACTTCAACCTCACTCATTCAAAAAGAATTTAGAATGCACAAAGTACAAACTAAATCCTTGGACTCCAAGTCTTATTGACTCAGATTGAACAGATCACACAGTGTTTATCAAAGACTTCTGCTTCAAGTGAGGTCAGAGATAGGGGTTATTAGACAATAAGATGGGTGGGGGTAATGAGTAGCAGGAGGCTGGGATGAACAAGGCACTGCTGTTTAAAGGGCCACTCTTGATGGCTCGTCTTGTGAAATATCATCCAGATAATATGCTAGATTAATTTTTTGTACAGAAACTGCAGACATCTTGCACCAAAGCTCGATCCCGGTTACCCTCTTCCAAAAGAAAGAGTCAGAGATCTGTACATGTCTCAAAAATGTGCTCAATCCATTAAAATTATTTTACTCTAAGTCACGGATGAGTATGCATATGATCAATATCGCTGCAGCAGTTGTGCCACTGACTTCAAAGGACACTCAGATCACCAAAACAACTTCATCTATATGAAGTTGTTATGGTGCCAGGATGCCCCCTGACACACTCTTACTTTAAGTGGTTAAACGATGTCTCCAGAGCCGATATTTAGTTTTCCCAGGCTGCATTCTGCTTCTGAATCTCAGTTACAGAAAGCGCAGAGTGCCACTGAGCATGGGCGCCAGTAACTAGCTAGAGCAGTCAGCTGATGCTCTAAGCCAATTAGTAGCTCCCCATTGATACATTTTTTTTTTGTTTGTTTTTTTATCAATGTTGAGCTACTAATTGGCTTAGAACATCAGCTGACCACTCTAATCCAATCAGTGCTGTCCCTGCCCAGCAACACTTCACGCTTCCTGTAACAGATTCAGAAGCCAGATGTCACCCGGGGGGACCTGAAATCAACGCTTGAGGCAACTTTTGGGGTCAAACCGTTTAACACCTTAAGATATAAGTGCACCCAGGGACCCCCTGGCACCATAACTTTATGTTGATAAGGTTGTTGTGGTGACCAGAGTGTCCCTTTAAATGAACTGATGTTAGATTATGTGAATGGAATGGAACATCTTTTAACTGCAACATGTGTTTGAAGTCAATATAGAAAAGACAGTCGCACACTCATGACCAATGTCTGACATTAGAAATTAGCTAATGTAAGTGTACATAAGTGTTAGGTCACACATGTATGCACACTAGTTGTCCCAAGTAAACACATAGGCGCGTGCATGCAGAAAAAAAAAATACTTATTCTATTTTTTTTCCCTTTCATTTTATTTATATTTTGCAATTGTGCCTGTTAATGTAGTTACAGGTCCTTTAATGCTATTTTAGAGTTCAGCTATTGTTAACAGGAATGAGAATATAGGCAAATTAAGGCAAGATCAAGGATTGGCTGGTCACGACCAGCCAGTCCTTGTAGAACATCCAAGGGACTATAATGAGGGACATACAGAGGTAAGCATCTTTTTTGTGCATTGAATTCTAAATGCATTGAAATTGTTAATAAAGGCTCTATACAGTATCCCCTTTAATTTTATATAACCAGGAGAACAAAAATTAACACCAAGGAAAATCAAATCAAAATCACGCACAGAGAGGACTTGTAGGGGTAATTAATCTTATGATTCTTTCAGTCCTACAAATATATTTTTAGCCAATAGTACACTTTTTTCCAGTTGATATGTTAACACCGTTTTGCTACCTCCAATCTAATCACATACTTGTCTGAAGTGTAGTTAAAGACTCATGGTACTTTAGCAATCAATTTTAATTACCTTACAGTCAGCTCAATTAATAGATCAATCCTTGGGGACAGAGAGAGTTTGTGTACAATGTAATTAGAAAAATAGTGGGGTGGGTGGGAAGAAGAACAGCAGAAAAAATAAATTAACAAAAACACAATAAATTTGAATTTTAAAAATAATCAAACTAATATAAACCATATAAAAACAACAAAAAAACATAGTTCTATGACTGGCCTTTACAATAACTAATAGCTCAAACTATATATTGGAACACAATGCACACAAAAAGTGTGATAGTCATAAGATTTAGTGGTTTAAGTTAAATTCAAAACTGCCAGATTCTGTAAACTAAATAAAATACAAACATTAGCATAATACAACATTAGTCAGTGTGGAATAGGAAATGTAAATCATTGCTTCCTGGGACTAGTGTGGAAAAGGAAACAAGTTTAGTTTTTGAGACAACTGAATTCTATTGTTTGTCCAGGAAAGCAGGTAATACTGAACAATGTACTTACATGGGCTAAAAAAATGATGCTAATGAGTCAGAATTCAAAGATTACTCAGCAAAGTCAGATGTTTCAGAGTCAGCTAATCCACAAAGGCACAGTGTAGACTCTGCTGCGGGGTGCCTGTTTCTTCAGTGTCAGCTCAAAAAATCCCATCTCTTTTTACACAGTTTTACATACATCCCACAATGTACTGTGACCCTCCTCAACTTCAAGGCTCATGGGCTGGGAGGGATTCCAGAGAGCCGACTGCTGATTGGATGGAAGTTTAAAGGTTCTACTTGAAGATACATTAGCTGATTTGAATCACTTTTAACAGAGTTAGCCTCAAGCATCTATCAGCATTGTCAATTCTAGTTTATTTGGCTTTTAAAACCAGCCAGAATTAACTATTCCTGTCTCCTAAAACTGTCAGAATTAAAATCTGACTTCTGTTACCTCTTGCCCCTACCCTTTAACCCATGCACTTACTTTTATATGTAAAAGTAGAAAAGCTTCCACAAGAGGACATAGTCTTACATTATAAGGGCAAAGGTTTAAAAATATCAGGAAGTATTATTTTACTGAGAGGGTAGTGGATGCATGGAATAGCCTTCCAGCTGAAGTGGTAGAGGTTAACACAGTAAAGGAGTTTAAGCATTTTGTGGGATAGGCATAATGCTATCCTAACTATAAGATAAGGCTAGTATTTAGAAAATTGGCAGACTAGATGGGTCAAACGGTTCTGTCATATTCTACGTTTCTATGTTTAAAAAAAAAATGTTCTCCTAATCTTCTCTACAAATCACCAGAATTCGCCTCTTGCAGTCCCTAAACATACAAGAACCATATCCTGCACTTTTAATTACAAATTTGCCAGAATTAATGTTTTCTATTTCATAGAATTACTTTTAATTCTGAAGTCTGCAAAAAATAACCTTTTGGTATTTTCTCTAAAATTTAGAACTGACTTTTCAAGTCCCCTCAATTTGCATGAATTAAAGTTTTTAGTCAGTTACAAACTTGCTACAACTCTCCCTACTATTAACGCTTCCCTCCAAATAAAATTAGTGTTCCAATTAAAACTTCCAGATGCATTGGGCTGCATTTGGACAATGCATTCAGTCACTCCTCTGGCATTCAAAGGGTCAAACCTTAGCATTTTTTCTGTTTCCAAAATATACCTTATTTATCTTGATTTCTTTAGTCTGACCCACATACAAATACGTCAATTAAAATTGTACAGTAATGTATTCAGAGATATTCCAAGAATTCATTTGAATAAAAAAATCATTGATTAGCATTAATCTACATTCATTTCTACAAATCTACTAATTTAATAACAGATCAAGCAGGAGTGGGCTGAATTTATATATATATATATATATATATATATATATATATATATATATATATACACACACACACACACACACACATGTATATATAGAGATATAAAACGGTATGGGTATTTTTGGATATATTCTAAAACTGTTTTGTAGCCTTAAGGAATTAAATAAAGGCTAGCCCATGTATGCAATTTCTAACAAGATTATAAACAGATGTTTCAATCTTGTACCTGTGACCTGAATTTGAGACTGCAATTTATTTTTTCCATTAAATGTTTCATTTCAAGGATATTCCCTGCTGTTTCAGGCTGGGGCGGTTTAAGCACACCAGCTGCAGCTGGTTACCTTCGAGTCCCCTTTGGTGGGCAGCAATCTGGCAAGGCATAATGAGACTCTCTGCCCACAGTAGCTTGCATAGCCTCTGTTTAGGTGTGACCCAAGAATTTTTGCTGCCTGTATTTTCCATACCCTGAAGCCATTTTATTCTTACTCTTAATGTAAAGTGCCCATAATGGGTGCATTGAAATGAGGCAGAAATTGAAGACAATTCAAATTATAAATTCCACCTGTGAGAAAACTAGAATGAAGTGCAGAGGGAGTTGGTCCATGAGCTAACAATCTAAAGGAGATACTCGGAAGACAAAAGTTTCCATGGATTTATTAAAATCATTAAAAGCCAGCGAGTATTATGGAAGGGTTGACAGTTCACTTCCTATGCTACTCGGTCCTTAAAAGTCGGTATGACTATGTGCTGTCTCCTCAGTTTGTTTCTCGATTAATATCTAAACCGCTGACTGACAGCTGATATTTGGAATGTTATCCTTGGTTACATTCCAGTTTAGCTCTCTAGTTCATCGGCTCATTGACATATTTTCCCAAAGTGTTTCCCCCATTGAATCTCTTCCATACATGTTCCTTCAATCCATCGTCCGCTAGGTATGTTACTGTAATATATCTTCCATAGCTGTATTTCTCAATCCACAGGCCCATACCAAGTTGTCCCCAATTCATATACCCAGCCCATTCGGTGACACTTGTCCCAGTTAAATTCTACGTCCTTTAAGCTCCCCACCGACACATGCACACAAATATATTTAAATAGGGCCAACAATTTATTACCTCGTCATTTCATCTTAAATGCAATAAATGTATGTATGTGCATATTTGTGCTCTGCTTGTAATTTATTGTATTTGGATCTGTGAGTATATGCGCTGTGTAAATGCATGCAGGTTCAAAGATAATGTTAGAAGTGGTTAGAGTAAAGGGGAGTTTAAGGATAGAAAGGGGTTAATATCAGAGTTATATTACCAAGGGTGTTTAGTGTTGAGAAAATTTAAACATAACATGTATTCCTGACCTCATAGTGTTAAAACCACCATCTAGCCCCCTACTCCCCCCACTAGATACAGCAAAATCTTACTTTCATTCCAGTCTGCTGCTGGCTCTGCCTGCTTAGCTGACATAATCAGAAGTGGTGATCTCAGCCAGCCAGAATGCTTTCCCATAGGAAAGCATTGGATTGGCTGTGCTTGTCAAGAGGCAGATCGGGGCAGAGCCAGCACAAGCCAAACACAGCCCTCGCCAATCAGCATCTCCTCATAGAGATACATTGAATCAGAAAAATGAGGGAAGTTTAGTCCCTTTAAGCCAAGAGTGGAGACACTGAGTGTCAGTCACACTGTGCAGCACTTCCCCAGGAAGCATCTCTAGCAGCCATCTGAGTAGTGGCCAGTGAAGGTATCACTAGGCTGTAATGTAAACACTGCATTTTCTCTGAAAAGACAGTGTTTACTGCAAAAAGCCTGAAGGGAATGATTCTATTCAGCAGAACAAATACAATAAGCTGTCGTTGTTCTGGTGATTATAGTGTCCCTTTAACAACTCGCAAGGGGTTAAAGTTGTAATATAAAAGTTGTTTAGGATTAGTCGGTTTAGGGTTAGAAGTAGATTAAGTTTTGCTTTTGGGTACATGGAGTGTTTCGTTTAAGAGGAGTTAAACATAGTATTAAGGCTAAAGGTTTATTTTCAGGTTTAGTCTTTGTGTGCTGGAGTTTGCAGAGTATTTACAAACCTTGTATGTACTCTGTTAATCAGTCAGATTGATTATATTAGAACTGCAGGAGCTGTTGTACAATGGTCATCACTCAGTGCTGTCCCTATTCCTCATGCAAAGCATTTCTTGTGTGAGAGGCTGTTAGTGGGCAGATGGGAAGTGAATCCTTCCACTTCCTGTCCAGCCTCACGCACAGACACTGGAGGAGCTGGGACATCACTGAGTTTTACACCTTCTATAACTCTTCCTGCAGGTCTTATATTAAGACTAACTGTACTACAGAGGACAATGGGAAAGTCTCCTGGGACTTACCTCTCCCCCAGCCTATTTAAGCTCCAAATGCACATGATAAGTGCAGCAAACAGGGGCCCCCTTCTTTACCTAATGGGAAAAACAGCCCTGTGTAATGTCGAGAACTGGTCTGAGTAGTCAATACAAGTATATAGAGCAGCTTCCACTATGCTACCAATGAGGAGGAGATATGGACAGTAGGCATGCTGATGATTGAGAATGGAGAGCCCTCTGTAACATGGGGTGGGGGATTCATAAACCACCGAAAGACATTTAAAAGCATCCCTCCACCATGCTTAGTATATATATATATTAAAATTGTAGTCAGTAGCACTCACAGTCTTTCTAAAATTCTTTCTTTATTTGTCCAAGTTAAAAAACTATCAACGTTTCAGTTCTAACATCAGGGTCGGTGCTTCCTATAAGGCAAACTAGGCAGCCGCCTAGGGCGCCATATAGGAGGGGGCACCCTGCGCCCCCATCTCCAGCCCTTTAAATGCTGCAGCAGTATAGAGTGCTCAGGCGGCAACCACACTGCCTCTTTCCTCACCTCCCCTTCCCTGTAGCGTGACAGAGCTCCTCTCTGGTCCGCAACCCCGCCGGACTGACAGGAAGTGCACACTCAGTGTGCACTTCCTGTCAGTCCAGCTGGGTGAAACAAACTCCTGTACCGCGCACCTGAGAGGAGATCAGCCATGCTACAGGGAAGGAGAGGTGAGGAAAATTTGAGGAGGGGGGTAGAGCTGGGGAGGGGTGGAGTAGAAGGTGGGGAGGGGAGTAAGAAGAGGAAGGGGCAGTAAGAAGAAAAAAGGGGGGTGTAAGAAGAAGAGAGGGATGGGGAGTAAGAAGAAGGGAGGTAAGGAAAACAGAGAGGCAGAGGGGTAAGAAAAGAAGGGAATGCAGAGAAAGAAGGGGAGGGAGTAAGAAGAAGAAAGGAGGGAGGGAAGAAAGAAGAAAACAGGGGAGGGAGGGAGTAAGAAGGGCCGGTAAGAGGAAAGGGGAGAGGGAAGTAAGAGAAGAAAGGGGGAGTAAAAAGAAGGGAGAGGGTAAGAAGAAGAGGGAAGAGTAAAAAGAAGGAGGAATAAGAAAGAGAGGGAGGGGAATAGAAGAAGAGAAGAAGGAAGTAGAAGAAAAACAGGTGAGGAAGTAAGAAGAAGAGGAGGGAGGAGTAAGAAGAATAGGAGGTAAGAAGAAGGGAGAGTGGTAGAAAGAAAGCAGGAGGATAACAAGAAGGGAGGTAGAATAAGGAGGGAGTAGAGAAAGGGGAGGGGGAGTAAGAAAGAAAACAGAGGAGGGGGAGTAAGAAGGGGGTAGAAGAAGAGGGAGGGGAAGTAAAAGAACACTGGGGGTGAGGGGAGAAAGGTGAGATAGGAGAACACGTAGAGGGAGGGGAGAAAGAAAGCCACAGGGAGAGGGAGTAGGAAGAGCGGGAGTGAGGAAAGAACACAGGGAGTGGGGTGAGGATGGTGATGAGAAGACAGGAGGAGGGTGAGGAGAAGACAC